ACTAATAGATAATGGCATCAGTAGCAGATAATGGTATCAGTATCAACCTGTGACAATAAACTGTCTGTGATGGTATCATTAGTACTATTATTAGTCTGAGTAGTAAATAATGGAACATGTATCAGTAACAGTTTGTGATGAAAAATCCTATTTGTAGATGGTAAAAAACGTGTCGGTGATGGTACGTTATATCACTCTGTGTAATAGGTAATGGCATCAGTTTGTGAAGGAAAATCCATCTATCTGAGGATGGTAACAGACGTCTGTCTGTGTGTGATCGTATCAGTCTGTGAAGGCCAGATTAACACTTTGCCGTCACATCTCGCTGTTCAGCAAAAATGCCGGGCGAACATCCACTCCTGTCACAAATCACCCAGTTCCTTTGGATTTCCCCCAAAATGCTTGTGATGGCAAGAGATTTTACAATATTGACCTTGTGATGGCAAAATGTTCAAGGAGTGTCGCTATGGTTACTATGAAGGATAAGTGGTGTTAGTCTGGACGGCCTGTGACATTACGTTGGATGGCAAACAATTTTACTATGGAGGGTATGATATTTCCACTGTGGGTGGGGTGGTGGTGGTGCTACGTTGGGAGAATCTGAAGTTAACGCTGGAGACACTGCTTAAACCCGAGAGCAAGTGGGACACTGAATGAAATTGGTAACAGGAATGGAACATAATACCATACAGTCATGCACAGTTACCCCGAACACGGAAAACTTGAAATCGCCGATAGCTCGTACAACGTGCCATTCCTCGAGTGATGTCTCTTTTTCATGTTCCGACATTGGTTGAGCCAATTATGAAGGTGTTAACAAACGTCTGTAAATCCCCCACGTGTTTGAGTCAACCGTGCCTGACTGTATCAACAACGCAAGACAAACAAAAGAACCGAAACAAAAGAAAACCCATGCCACACAGTGGCTATACTGAAAGCTACCAGGGCCATCAAACAGAAAAAAGAAAAGTATCTCATCTCTTCACCTTTCTATCCAGTCTGTGACTAAATAAATCAGTGTGGACCAATGGCAGTTTTATCATGCATGTGGGCAGTGTTGATTATAATGAAATGAACAACTTTCTTAACTCTGTAAATATACAATTTGTGAGAGCACGTCCAACTGTACACACACACACACAAACACACACAAACACACACACACACACACACACACACACACACACACACACACAAAGACAAACAAAAGTATAAAGAACACCTTTTAAGTGATTACAAAGCAATTTTGACTGACATTACATCAATACACAAAGAGTGAAGCAAGCTAGGATACGTCCCCAGACACTCCTGAATTTACACGATTACAAAATGCAAATGTACATGGAAACACAAACACACACACACACACACACAAACACACACACATACACACACAAACACACACACACACAAACAAACAACCAGCAAGCTTCTATATGTAGCCAACACAAGGAAGGACGCAGCATTGCAGGGAGAGAGATATACATGCACATATTGAAAGAGACCCCCCTTAAAAAAAAAAACAACCCAATAACAAACAAACAGCAAAAAGCCCCAACAGATGGCGCGACAAAAACAAAACAAGTTAGTGTGCTTCAATTGTGCTATTAAGGCAGTCAAAGGTATGAAGATTGAAACATCGGCAAAACATAGGAATGATGGGTTAATCGTCATAACAATACACTCAGACTCAGAAAACAATCCACAACACACAAAAAAACCCCCCCCACAAAGCTTAGAAATCAAAAGACATGAGGAACGACTCAGCAACAAATCAAACAGCAGGAACAGAGAACCAACGTTTTGATGTACAACACCAATATTATGCCACCCACTACACACAAAACAATTAATAACACAGTCGGAGAATACTCAACACAGCGCAAATTAATGTATTCGTCTCAATAATGCTTTCATCAACGGAAAGACACAATTCAGTTTGAACAAAAAGAATGAAAACAATTCTTAAGTAATGCAGATAGGTGTTGTGGCACAGAACTTCACAAGTTCATGAAAAGCTATCCATTTATGATGTCGTTGCTGCAGGATTCTAAAGGATTAACTTGATTTCAGTAAATTCTACAGGAGAGTGAAAATGTAAAGAGAAAGGCTATCATATACATTTTAACTGTTTAAAATCCCACATTGAAACAAATATTTGGATAGGTTAATCTGGCTCAAAGCTATTTATGCGATATGTTGCGTAATGTCAGTCAGAATTCAGAGGGAAAAAAACAATACATTTTTGGATTAAGTTGTTTCAAATCCTGCAGTGATGATATGACTATCAAGTTGAGGCAAGGCAAGATAGGGACTTTTAAATCAAATACGAAGTATAATGATCAATCTAGGCCCATAGGGGCTTTTATACTTGAAGAACCAGCACCAGTGAAGTGAACCAACTTAAGAGAGTGACTGACCGTAAACATTTTATGCTCCATTGGCAAGCTTAATAAAATACTTGTGTCTTCAGCATGCAAAGATATAGAGCCTAACAAATGCACCTAATATGTAGGTGTTATTACGCCCTGATCAACATAATTTATATTACTTAGGTGGCGGGCTTCCAACCCTGCCTGTCAGGACCAACCTAGGTTGTGAGAGATACAACATCCCAGAAGAAAGACCAAGATACTTGATAAAAATTTCTTCCCACTCACAAATCAAACTTGGGTCTCCTGCATGCGACAGCTAAGTGCCTAACCACTACACAACAGACGCTGATTAACCACTGCACCACAAGCTCCATTTCACAGATTCAACAGAGGATGGACAGAGCTCAAATTCTGTTTAACCAAGGAAACTTCCACACATCATGACACAACTAGTAAAAGAATAAATCAACACTGAATCCAATAAAAAGAATGCAAGAGAAAAACAAGAAGAAAACAAATTATTTTCAATAAGTAACAAAGTGAGACAATAAAAATGCATTTTTGTACATAAAGTATGATACAATTAACTCTCTATCTCCGGCAAGCCGCTCCCAGCGGCTCGCGGCCGGAAACGCTGAGCCGCTGAGCCACTGACAGTGGCTGGGGAACATTCCTTTACGACGACTTCGATATCAAATTATTTTTCGGCAGTTGCCGAAAACAGCTTGCTTTTACCACGGGATAATTCATCAGATCAAGAACTATCGAAAAAGGTTAACTTTTTTATATCTAATGACCAGTTTAGTAACATAAAATCGATTTTGTACCAAAATAGGGTCCCGGCCCCAGCATAAGAGTTAATAGAGACAGTAACATGAAATATATTCAAAGCAAATTTTTTTTAAAGAGAAAAGGCGAAAGAATTTTAACGAAACAAAACTGTGACACCACTACTCTTCAAAACAGCGAAACATAAGCTACGCACAATCAATGACAGAATTCAATGACAAGCACATCCATGGTGATTTCATCATCATAAAAAACAATTCGTAACACAGCTGACACAGTTGTCAAATCGCCACATAGTGGAACTCTTTACATATATATTGATATTATAAACAAAGCAATAACACAGCAAAGGTTTGCACTATTAATATTATCAACACCACATTCAGTGGAGACCGCAAAAAAAGCCTCCAGTTCATATCAGTGAGTGTGCTTCTCAACATAAGCACTATAAACACCTGAATAAATTAAACCATCGAGCTGTACAAAACTGTCTACACATAAACCAACAGAAGTCAACTGTTACTGTTAGTCAAAGCTATTCACAAACTCCAAAGCTCAGACACACTGGATATGTTTTGGACACATCTTCTGAAGAAAATCAGTGAAGAGGAAAAAAATAGTAGGCCGAAAGCCTGGAAAACTCCCTAAACGACCAAAGCTCAAGAATGCTCTATTAGGGGTCCAAACCAAGATCATCTGCATCATACCCCAACATGATGATATCCACTGAGCAAATGGTGTGCCTAAACTATTCCATTGATTTATTTATAGACACACCAGCCATCCATATCTAGGTGATGTTTAAATCTCTATGTGTGTCTGGAATGAGCCGTTGAACAACGAACAAAAAAATCTAAGGCCTAAACAAGAACAAAAAGATATGGTTAGGGTAAGTCTCACCGACAGAACCCAGAGAGGGAAAAGTGCAGCCCCGACATGACCCATATAGAGGCAAAACCCTCATAAAGGACAACAACAGAGTGCAAGGGCATCTGATTTGTGTCAAGGATTGGACAGAAAACCCCCCCCCCCAAAAAATGGAAGCATGCCCAAAACAAGGTGAGTATTTGATCTATTGTGAGGACAAATTCTTTAGCTGCACTAGACTTTTCTAAACTACTACCTACAAAGCAAAAGCCCATTCATTATATACTTAATTAAGTGTTACACAATACAGTGAAATTATTTCACCACACTACAAAGCAAAACTGTGAACTAGTGATTTCAAACACAGCAGAATTCAAAATAATGCTGTTCCACGGTAACAAGCAGTACATTTGGACTATACTTTCGTTTCAGTAACTGACGGGACAAACGAGGTGTTTTTTCTGTCCCGTCAGTTACCAAAACTTAACATGTCACAGAATTTGCACAACCTACTTTAATTTTTTTACAAATGACTGCATTTAATACCATTCTGAATATGTCTTTAAAAAGTTCTGTTAATTTAAAGTTAAAATAAATTGATTGATATTGAATTAGTGTTACGTTGGATGAAAGTAAAGTCCAAATGTCCCGTCAGTTTCTGCGGAATAGCCCAATTATGAGTCAAGTCAGGCAACAAATTTCATTCAGGCGCACAGAGAACCAGTGCTGCCTCACCTACAACCCTACCGATGCTATGAGCATAGATCTAAGCAAAAATAGATCACTGAGCGATCAAGACTAAAGTCGTTCATCAAATAGTAAGTATATCAGTATTTTTTTCTACGCATTCAAACTCGACCTAAGAGACAAAGGGAATTTACAGATGTCTGGTTATAGAAACTTGTCTAAATCTGTTATGGTCACATTTACAAATAACATCTGGATCTAATACTAATAAGGATAGCACTCTCGCTTTCCTGTGAAAATTCTCATCATCACTACTGTTGGACAACGTTGGCAATGATCAAGACTGAATGCCTTCTGGATATTTACCTACTCTAAATATGACGGAAAACTTTCTTTGAGCATAACAAAAAAAAATCTTTTTTAAAAAGTAGGGTAGGTGTTTCTACACCTTGAACGAGATTGAAAATATTGCACCTTCATTGAAGATTGTTCAGGACAAACCCCTTGAGAACTGAAAGGCTCACAGTCCTCTTGATGAATCCCGCAAATTTCGCACGAAATAACTGTTGTATCGTTGATGGGCTCAAGGCCGTTTCAACAATGCAAGTTATTTATGAGTTGGTACTTTCGAAAGTGAAGTCCATCTCCGACAGGACTGAGCAATGAGGGTGGAGAACTAAGGACACTCCCAAACACTTCAAGTTCTCAAACATCCTGAAAGGGATTCAAACCAGAGTCAACCGTATTGTAGTCAGCATGATACCAACTGAGCCCCCCCCCTCCTCGCCCCACCCACCCCCAATTTCAAAAACAACCCACAAAACCAACAAAAACTTAAATAAATAAATAAATAATAAACAAATAAATAAATAAATAAATAATAAACAAATAAATAAATAAAAAAATAAAAAAATAAGTTTTTAAAAAGGCTGAAATTTAATTAAAGAAAGCAAGAACAGCAGAAGCCTCCCAATCTACATACCTGCGTCTGTACATTTACAGTGTATCTCGGATACAGAAAAGCTGAAAAGCACTCTCACAAACCATAAAGGTAGACAGAAGCCTTTTCATAGAGAAAGTAAATCTGCAAGAAAAAAAAAGTTCTTATTTCAACCCTTCCCTTGGAAGAAAATAAAATTCTTGAGATATTTCCAGCTTCTCCTCAGACAAACTGAACCATTGCAGTGACATATTCATAGGAGGATGAAACCTGAAAAAAAGGATCCGATTCAGAGAGTTTCAGAAAGCTGATCTGGGTAACCTCCACCTCTCAGATTAAGACTAATTAAAATAGATATAAAGAACTCATATCATATCACATTATTGAAATTAATTAAGAAATTGGCAACACGTTTGAGACAAAGAAACGTGCACAAACACTCACACACACACACTGAAGCGTTTCCATTCACATACAAATGTGCCTACATAAACACAGGCAAGAACATAAAAGTAATCCCAAAACAGTGTTATAATGTACAAAGATTTTGGTCACCACATAAGACAAATTGAGCTTTGGCTGGACACAAGCAAGCACAATAAGTATTCACATATTTCCATCACATTTCTGGCTATGAAGACTGCTAACAGAGGGAAAACAAAAACAACTTTGTCTGAGTAAGAAAAAGTTGGGGGGAAAATAATTAGCAAAGACAACCTTCGCTACGACTTTGTCAAATTAAGAAAAAAGTAGAGAAAATAAACAGCAAAGACTTTTGCTACAATCAGTATAGTAGATTCTTCAGCTCGGAAACAGAAAATTGTGAACAAATAAGAACCAACTTGCATTGCACAATACATCAATCTATATATATATAGATATATATACTTGACATACACAAGCAGTGGCTTTTCGAACGAGGACTAGAAAGCATCTCCTTTGATTTTCTAGGATGACAGGCAAGCCAGTCAGTAAACTCTCCACCCAGACTCTGAGCAAATCATTTTCATTTTTCATTCTTATCTACATTCAAGCAATGAAAATAATGATGATGTTGATCGCAAGCTGGCAAAGTGTGAGAAAGCTTATTCTAAAGGAGGCAGAAAAAAACAAAACCTTTCTACATCACTTCACTAAAATTTTACTCACTGGAAATTCGAGGCCTCTTTCATCAAAATTCTTTTGCTTGTACTTCTAGGAAAAACACGCATTTATACATGATGCACACTCATAGAGCCATATCACCCCTTGAAAGTTCAAACTGTCTTTGTTGTCAATGCTTCTGTCCTCAGAATAAAAGAGAAACTAAACTTAATACTTTTAACCCCTTGACTGCTAATCATAAGTCCACGGCATGTGCTAAGGAAATTTCCACAGTGGCTGTGTAGGACACGATCTGCTTTTTGAATGGCTATAGCTCGCTTACTATAAGCACTAGATATAGCAAAGTCTATGTCAAATAAAAGAGAAATGAACACACAATCCATTGGTGTGACTCATTTTTAGGTATAAGTATTCTGTAGAACAATTTGGCACGTGAAAGTGGGATTTTAAAAAATTTCGCCTCCTCGTCATCTCGGAGATTACATCTAAGACAAAAACCTTTTTCAGAGGAATATATATTGAAATCTTTGTTTGATAAATTTCTGCAATAACCTAATCCATTGGCCTAGTCAACATTTGCGAAGCCATCGTGGCGAATGTAGACTGCATGCAAAAACCTAGGAGAGGCAGACTGACTTGGTCATTCGCGCACAACACACTACACACCGTGTCTCTTTGTTTTAGCTACATTCAAATCCCGGGACTAATAGCCTAAAAACAGGCATGATCACATCGGTAAGTGGACAGAGAATACAGGGATGTAACTCGTGTTATTCAAAACTATGTAGAAGTGAAGATATGCACGAAACAAAACAGGGTTTTTTCAGGTACGCCTGCAGCGCACACGGGAGTGAATTATTAGGGCGTACCAGGTAAGCCCACAGAGCAGGCAAGGGGTTAACTATAGTTCGAAACTACTAAATAATTTTGAAGAATAAACTAACTTGACTTCCTACCAAGGAGATGAGATACAGATAAAATTTCTCATGATGTATCTAGGAGCAGACTTGTATCATTATATTCATTCTCAACATCTGCACAATTAAAACAATTAGGCTCTCAAGGAAAAAAAAAAATTTCTAGAACGAGACAATCTTGCAATTTTTTTTTTTCATCGACAATCTCATGCATGGCCACTTCACGCACAACACCAATGACAGATGACTGAATGGGATCACTTCTCCATGAGAGACAGCTCTAGAATTTTCTGAAGCTCCTCTTCTTCTTCTTTCCTCCTCCTCTCTTCTTCCTCCTGCTCCTTCTTGGACAACTCAAGGATCATCCTCAGCTGGTCATCCTCCTCTTCCGAAGCAAGGCCTTGAGGAGGGCGGGGCTGCGGCGGTAGGGGCCTGTGATTTTTCTCGAAGCCAGGATTGGCGGTGATTTCTGAGCCATCCATACCACCGGACTGGAAGCTGGCAGCGATGGCTCTGAAGGAGACAATCAAGAATGTTCTTTTGTTTGTTTGTTTGAGTAAAGAGAAGCACATCACACAATAATGGTTATTTAGTGCTGGGAAAAAGTAAGACAGACAGACAGAAACAACAAAGGGGAAGTAAAGAATTAGGACCTACCAGTGGCACCCTCCACTGTTCCTTAGTTAGAGTCGAAGGTAACTGTGAATTCGCAAGACAGTGTCCATATTTTACAAGGTCAAAATTAGCTTTTCTTCTTTGAATGACGGAGCAGCATCCAACTAAAACAGTAGCTAATGGTGAACTGGCACAACAGTGTCCATGGTTTACAAGGAAAACTTTAGTAGCATCGTTTTTTAAAAGACGGAGCACCACAGAAAGCTGGCATCAGCAGCATTGAAAGAAGGGGAAGGGAAATGTTCCAAATTTGAGTTGTAGTTTACGGTAAACATTGTAGTTTACGGTAAACAGAGTGACCAAAGCCACAATTTATGTGAAATAAATCAGGATTAAACCAACACTGAGAAGAAGTAGGAGGAACAGACGCTACCACTCTACTGCAAAAGTAGGTTAAAGGTAGGCCAGGAAGCCTATATCAAATGCCAAAGTTTAATTTTTTAAATTTAAAATGTATGTTTTTTAAGACCTTAACATAATTTAGATCATTTAGGAGGCTGGCTTCCGACCCTGACAGCCTGTAACGGCCAACCTGGGCTGAGAGAGTTACAACATCCAAGTAAAAAGACCAATATACTCGATAAGAACTTCTCCTAACTTGAGAATCAAACTCACGTCACCTGCGTGCGACAGGGAAGCGCTGAAATGCTACACCAGATGCTAATCTAGAGGGGTGAGAAAACTTCCATCAAACCAAATATGAATAAACACGAATTGTTAGAAAAATGGCCAGTTTTTCTTTCATTATTTACCACATTACACCCAAACTCGCCCAGGAATCCCCTTACACGCTCCACCCTGACTCGCCCGGATCCGCCCGCGCCAACCAAGCGTCTTTAGAAACAAAGTCTCGCCTTGACAAGACTCTGGGGCCGAGATTTTGATTGGCATAGTTATTGCAAAAAGTTTCTTCTTTCGTATGATACCGAAACAAAATTTTTCTGGCCAGTAGTTTTAGTATTACAGCCGATAGAAGTTCGATCGCGTTACCGACACTTCGTAGGTGTCTCGACTTGTTGAAAAGCAACACAATTGAATTCGAAAAAGGAAATAACGATGGATTTGAGCAAAAACATGCATATGGCATATCAGATGACTCGGGTTTTGATGAAAATGTAGCAAGAGTTTGGGGCGATTCAGATTGATCAGGCGTAGAAAATCTAGAATTTAGATCTAGGGTCCGACCCCGAGGCTGAGAGTGAGAGTGATGGGTCGGACACCCCGATTGAACTAAAGTTAGAACATTTCCAACAGCTTGCCCATACATAAAGTTATATTTTTCTAAAACTACATTCATTATTCGTTTTAACTTTTATTTTTCAGGATTTGTGGAATTTGTTATAATTAAGCATTTTTAAAATGCGTTTTTCAAACGCTTGTATTCACGGGAGGTGGGTTCCTTCCCCTAGCTTAGGATCTAACAATGGACTTCCCGTCCTGACCCTTAGGGTATTATGTGTTAAATATCTGGGGAGGGAAGCGCATACCTTTGCAACATTTTGTCCTCATCTTCCATGGGTCCCCCGTCTTTGCCTTTGTTCAGAGCCTCGTAGAAGGTGACCTGAAATGTTTTTTATTAAAGGACTGGAATATGAAATATGAAGGTTGAGTACTTAACAGGCTGCCATGCTGTATGCCTCTGGCTAGGGAGGACTGAGAAGGGAGACTAAAATTTTTTTTAAAGCTTACCCCAGGCGATTTTTTTTTTCGGGGTAGGGGGTGTGGGAGTGTCCCTTGATCAAACGAACATCATCTGATGAGTGCATTGATGGTCTAGTGGTTAGGCTGTTGGGCTCCCAACTGAAACATTGTTGATTCAAACCCCATCAAAGGCCCAAAGTTGTGTCCTCGGGAAAGGCACTTTACACGAATTTACCTCACTTCACCCAGATTTGAATGGGTACCCAGCTATAGACAGAGAATGAAAGTGTGTGTGTGTGTGTGTGTGAGGGTGTGTGTGTGTGAGTGTGTGTGTGTGTGTGTGTGTGTGTGTGTGTGTGTGTGTGTGTGTGTGTGTGTGTGTGTGTGTGTGTGTGTGTAGGTGTGCACGTGTGTATGTATGTGTGTATGAGTATGTGTTTAGTTTAGTAAGAGTTTTACGGCACTTGCAACACAATAAGGTTATATAAGTGCCGAAGATTAGAGGTGTTACAAGAGAGTAACAAACACAAAAAAAAAGGAGGGGAGATAAAGAAGATAGATGTTTGATAGGAAAGAAGGAGCAAACCACACCAGAGCACCTGCCAACCACCCACTGAGTATGTGTGTGTATGTTTGTTGTTGCTGTTGTTAAATGGTATCACCTTGTGCATTTTCTGTCCTTCGATTCGTCAGCTAAATTGAGTGATGATTCTGCATTGAACAGCTTTTTGAGCCTTCTCAGAATTAGGTGCTAAAAACATGTCAATCCCCATTACTATTATTATTATTATTATTATTATTATCATTCTTATTAAACCACGTGGGCCTTACCTGCTCATTCTCCGTCCCTTGTTCCACCAGACTTTGCTGTATGGCAAACTGTAGAAGTTCATCATCTTCATCTCTCAGACGTTCGTGATGTCCATCTCCACCTGAATAAGTGACAGGCTAAATGTGATTACTCAGTTATTTTTTCTTTTCCCCCTTACCCAATCCTATCACATTGACTTTATCTGACTAGTACAGCATGGTACACGTGATGGATAAGCTATAGTCAACACAGGGTTATGATAAGGTTAGTTTCATAGATAATAATAATAATAATAATAATAAATAAATTACACTTTTATTTGTCCCAGAAGGGCACTTTGTTTTACAATGGCAAACATACATACATAAATACATGATTATAGATACGTACATACATAAATACATACATGCATAAATACATACATAAATACACACTATTACACAAATACAGAACAGTTTACAAACAGTGCCACTGTCGGCCGCCACTGTGCAGATGGTAGACTTTACATTGTTACTTTTTCTAGTTACAATTTAGTTCCTCCTTAAAGACTGTTGTGATTGCTTAGTCAAAAGGATAGCACAATTTGAAAATGAGGAAAAGTGGTGATATTTTTGCAAACAGTAACAGGCAAAACAAAGGACTACTTCTTTCCAGTTTTTTTTGTCAGTCTCCTCTGAGGTATCTGAATGCCTGTGATCTGTAATACTATTCAGCATGGAGTTAGATAAAGACACTGAAAATTTTAATCCAAAAATTAATTCTATCAAATCTATGATTTTTATGTTAAACGTTGACAAATTCGATGATAATTATGATGATGCAATGTTATTCAACAACAAATGATGATAAAAACACAAAAATTATTAAATATATGGGGTGTCACAAGCCATGGTGACCTTTCAATGTCCATGCTCTGTAAGATAGATCGACTAGAACTCACCCAGTCTCCCGTAGCTGGCTGGAGCATTGAAGCACTCCTCCTCTATGCTACAAGTGATCTGTTCAGGCGTTTTCACCGTGGTCACGTAACGGGCCTCCTGCTCACTCGCCTGGATATTGCCGAAAGTGATGCGTGCGTTCAGCACATGGAACAATGGGATCTCTGCAAGAGTAAACATTTATGTTTGTTTGTAATTTTTTTTCTTATGCTAGTAAGAGTTTCGGAAGATTAAAAGTGTTACGAAAGAGCAACAAACATTTAAAAAAAGGAGAGATAAGAACAATAGGCGTTTCATGGGAAAGACGGAGCAAACTACAACACGCCAGACTAAAAAAAAACTTGGTGCTCATCTCAAAAGACAAAATAAAAGACACATTTCCGGCCGTTTATCAGATGTGTTCTTGACAACTCAAGATAGCATTGGGAAGTTTTGCAGGGCTCGCAACTGCATACGATCATATGATAATGCAACTGAAGATAACTATTCAATTGCACATGCACTTCTAAAAAAAAGTGAGGAGGCTACTACATCTTTAGATCAGTTGGGTTCATACTGGGATACAATGTGGATGACTGTGGTTTGAATCCTTAAAGGGGCTTCAGGTACATATGGGCATGCAGAAGGTGTTCATAACTCTCTGAGCACTCACCGGTTTTGATGGGAAACAAATTTGAATCCCTAATGTGGCTTTGTGTCTACATGGGCATGTGGAAGAAGTTCATAACTCTCTGTTCACTACCCAATTTTGATGGAGAATCCGGTTTGAATCCCTAATGTGGCTTTCGTGTATAAATGGGCATGTGGAAGGGGTTCGCAACTCTCTGCGCACTCACCAATTTTGATGGGGAATCCGGCGGGCAGCTGGAGGGTGATGAAGTCCCTGAGCTTGGCGAAGTGCGCGTTGCTCTGAGCCATGAGGTCAATGATCGGAATGACCTGCTCCTGGAGGGACAGTGGGTAGCCTTCGCACAGCCACAGGCTGGCCTTGAACTTCTGCACCTTACTGCTCTGCTCGATGGGCCGGCCTATGTCCTTGTCGCCAAGGTCAATCACGTGGCTGAAGTACTCCTCTGGGCTGATGTTACCAGGGTTGTACGATATCGACGTGGACATCTGAAGGAGGAATACATTCAATTCTAGTGAAGAGAGTCTACAACTATGGACACACCAATCCTAGCAAAGAAAGTCAACTGAACTTAAACCAAATTTCTCCACAGGGATCATTACAAATGGATATTTATTGTACTTTTGTCAATTAAAGAGGAATTTTATTTCATTTTTGTCACCAATTGTTTTATTTTAAAAAAGAACAGAAAATAAAAATTAAACGACATAAGCATCATTTACTGCATTAAAGGTGTCTTGGTAGTTCTAAAACTGATAAGAGTAGGCTTTGGCCCCCATCCCTGCTAAATTCAAAATTAATTCCTGCCAAAATGGAAAATACTCTAGTCAGTATAAAAACATATAGAGAACCTTAAAAATCAGAATGTGACTACTTGAAGGGAAGAGACCCTACAAAGTTAGAAAAATGGCCACATTTGTCAAATTCAGTTGCAGGTTGAAGGTTGAAGAACCAGCAGTCGGCTACCCCTGGGATCTAGTAAGAGAAAGCAAAGAAGAAGAAGACTTACTGCGTCAAGGCTGTTGCTGCTGGTGGTGGTGGTCATGGTTTCCTCTGTGGCGCCGAGGAAAGACTCTAACGGCGTCTTGCTACTCGACTTCTTGGCCTTCACCTTGTCTTTTGCTGCTAGATGCTCGGTTCGAGTCTTTGTGACCAACTCCACATTGTTCGCCGTGAAAACCTGTCACAAATCAAAAATGAGTGAACTTACACACAACTGGTCTCATTCTTTAGTGGTCTGGGTAGCCTAAAGGTTGTGCTGTTTCACTTGACATGCATCTATAAGATCATGACTTTGAATCCACTACGTTCCTGATTTTTTTCCTCGAAAAGAAAATTGATACAGATAAGCACATACACAGCCCACAATCAAGTGGCAATAGATGATACTCCATGAATATAATTTATTCTAATAATTACTATCATTAAGAAAAAGAAATGTTTGTTCCTGTCGCTTATATGAAAATGTAATGAACAATGTGCCAAAATCACATACATAAGATTGGTAAGAACTTACTCCATTCACATTTTTAGGAAATTAAATAGAATTTGCAATAGTTCAGAACAAAAGACAAATGTAAATGACTCAAACATAAGATTTGGCATGACCAATCCCACATGAAAAATAAAAAGTCAACAGAAAATTAAGAGACACAGAGTAACCCAAGTTCATTGACATGATATATGACCAAACAGAAAAGTCGCTTGACTTCCATCAATCAGTAAGGGAGTCCATACAATTAATTAGCGACAGAAACATGTTTTAGTAAGAGTTTTATGGAACTTGTAACACAATCAAGTCGTATAAGTATCGAAGATTAGAGGTGTCACATGACAGGAGTAACAAACACAAAAAAGAATGAAGAGAGATAAGGACAATAAGTTTTGATATGAAAGAAGGAGAAACCACACCAGAGCAACCCCACACCACCCGCCCCATAGAAACAACATCCAAAGACAAAACCTCGACATACCTTACATTCATACCCATTCACCGACTCCGTCTTGTCACTTCGCCATCCCCATATGCCTGATTTGCTTCTGTAAATGAAGAAATAGAAAAGAGATCAGAACTTGCCATCCAAGGTTCTAATTCATCATACAATTCCAAAAACATATCGGGGTTGGATTTTTTTTTCTTCAGTGTTTTATACGGCACTTGCAAAACAATTAGGTCATATACATGCCAAAGATTAGAGATGTTATAAGAGAGTAACAAACACAAACACAAAAAAGGAGGAGGGATAAAGATGATTGTTGTTTGACAGGAAAGAAGCATCAAACCCCACCAGAGCATAAGCCAACCACCCACGACAATATCTCTGATGTAGTATTCTCGGTTGAAGTTTCTACAATTGTAGAGACAGGCACTGATAACTCAAACACGCCAGGGATAGACAAATGTGTTCGACACAGCCATAATTATGGTCAACCGATAACAGAAAATTGTGTGCGACACAGCCATAGTTATGGTCAACCGATAACGGAAAATTAAAGAGACATCAGTTGGGGAATGGCAAAGTGTACGAGCTATCAGCGATTTCGAGTTTTACGAGTTTGTGTTATCAGTGCCTGACTGTATATGTACCTGCAAAGTAAGAAAATTTGGCTATATGAGCTTGAGAGAAGACAACTGACAAACTCAAGATCCTGAGGGAGCAGACAGCTATGAAGGCAAATAAACAGGGGAAGAGGTTCGTAACATTCAAATCTGCAGAAAACCCCTGTAAAAATACTAAAATAAAGATGATGATAATAATAATACTAACAATAATAATAGTAATAATAATATTAAAAGTGATAATAACTATAAATGATTATAATAATAATTGCATGTAAATGGCCCATATCCACACTCTACAGCATGCTTAATGCGCTTCACAATCATTTAAAAAATCAAAATAACTGTTGCAACCACAAGAGACATGATCAGAAACACTACACAAACCCGCTGACCTCTCAAAAGATATTCTATCTGTATCTATGTAAGTGGTGCAGGCAGGCGATGTCAGACGAGCCGCGACAGCGTCCTCCGAAGGTCGCATGACGGACGAGTCAGCAGTAGCCGGGAGGACACGAATCGTCTCTTGGTAAACTTCATGAATGTCGTGATCCACTTCCATGATAGAGGCTGCGTTGTCTCCTGAGAAAAAGGAAAACAAGAAAAAAAAAACACTTAAAGAATCTCCTTTATTTTCCTGTCAAATACCTTTTCTTTCCTCATTCTTTTCTTTATATGTTATTCTCTAGTAATACCTCTCATCTTAAGCACTGTTTGTGCCAACTGACCTACTTACAATTAGAGCTTTAAAATAATTTGAACTGCGTGTTAGATTATATCATAGTGCTCTCCATAGATTATTTCTGCAAGAAAAACCACTGTGGTAAAATGTAATCATTGTGATGAGAGGCATCTTTGCAAATCGAGAAACAAGAATCACAGGGTGCAGGCAGCCTTGGATGAATGGGGAGCAAGGTGAATCCACATGTGTGATTTAAAAATATGTGAGGCATCGTAGTGAAATCAGTCGCTCGTAAAAATAATGAAATCGAAGAAGAAGGGAAGATAAGGACGATAGATGTTTGATAGGAAAGAAGAACCAAACCACACCAGAGCACCCGCCAACCATCCACAATTTTACTTCGGAAGCCAGGCGACCCCCATCTCCTTCAATGGCAAATATCTCGACTTTAATTCAAGATAAATGGTTACTTTTTTTCATCTAATGCAAAGCAAATGAACAAACTTTAAGATGATACCAATGAAAAATTTGTCAGTACCTGTAACCTTGAAAATGTAACTGCGACTGCCTCTCTGCCACGTCATGTTGTCAAAGCCAAGCAGAGTGGTGTCTATTCTCACACTGGAACCTGAAAATATCCCCACAAAAAATGTCATGTATTTTTAACATAGTCATTTAGTCAGGAAGAAATAGAAAAATTGTTGTAAAACAATAACACTGTGGACCTTCATTGAGCTAATCCTGAAAGTATGGCTGTTCAGTACACGGCGGGCCTGAAATGTATCAAGCCTAAGCATGTGAACACAACCTTAAAACACAATTCAACTTTTTCCCAAAAAGTCTTTTTTTTTTTTTTTCTTTTCAAAAGCTAAAACTCCTCAGGCAACAAATGAAGACAGGTTTAGCTTGAGTTTCAGTAAAGAGAAGCATATCAGAATACACACAATAACATTCATTTGGTGCAGACAGACAGACAGACAGACAGACAGACAGACAGACAGACAGACAGACAGACAGAAGGAAAGTAAAGCAGTAGAATTACAAGTCGCACCCCCCATCCTTTCAAGACCTATATAAACTATGTCCCCTTGTGATCGTGCAAAAAGTCAATAATTTTGCGTTGTTTGCTTCGATGATTGTTTTTTCATTGAGGTCTTCATAAGTAGTCCACAACCCATCAACTTTAGTGACAGAGCAATATGAGCAAACAAATACTGAACCTGTGTGGCATCATGGAGAAATGAGGCACTCGCAAAATATTGAAATTGAAAAAAAAAACATTTTTCCTCGCTATGGCAACTTTGGACAATTTTTATCAAATTCTTTTGTCTCAACACCTTTAATATCCATTCAAAACACACTTCCGTGTGGATTTTACTGAAAAATGAGGATCAAAATCGACGAGTGCTCGATTTCGTCACGACAGACATTATATATATGTGTTCCGCGTATTTGAGTCTCTTACAAAATTATCTAGAGTCAGAGTCAAACTGAAATTTCTGGTGCAAACACCAACCTTTCTTCCACACTTTGTATGTATCACTGGGGCACATTCGGGAAATGAGAGGCACTGGAAATAAAAAACGATTAGACATATATTACGTCACCATCATCATCCTCTACATATGTTATATTATAAATTAACTTGGCACAGTGTGTTCATCTTTTGTCACTAGAATCTAGAAAACGTTCAACTACAGTCAAACCAGCTAAAGGTGGAACCATAAAAAAGCCGGATAAAAATTCCCTCCTTTGACATTTTGCGTCTTGGACACCCACACCACCCTGTCTAACTACACTGCTCAGGGCTCACATGGACAGGGTAACAGCAACCCCTCCATCTAGCACCCCCTTCCCCATTCTTCTCCTCTCTCTCTCTCTCTCTTCTGGCGCTGTGGCTTCATAAACAGTCAGCGATGCCGACAGCACGCAGGAACTCAACACTCGCCAGGGGGTCCTTAAAAAGTGCTGAAAGTCATTCTTCTCCTGGCAGCATGGGGGTAAAAGGTAAGAGCAGACGGAACCAAACTTGGGAGTTTTGTTTTAAATTGGGGAAAAGAGCAGGCAAAGCATGCTCCGTGTCCGAACACGTCAAAACCCTCTGAAGGGAAAGAATTTTTCTTTTGATTTCCAGGCTAAGAGGGATTCCATTTTAAACAGGTGTATTATAGAGGAATTAACCAAAGGGGGGAGGAGGGAGATTCAATTATGACAAATTTCCAAGTAGGACGGGTCTGACTGTGTCTTCATACAAGGCAATTCGTCACAATTCTTTTTCAGTAACTAAGAGAGGCAGCCTCATAAACAGCTCTCCTGCAACATTAATAACAATACCAGTAGTAGAAATAATGATAATAAAATTAATCATAATAATAGTAATATCTATAATGACAATAACAAATACAATAATAACAATAATTATAATGGTGATGATAATGACATTATTATTATTACATGAAATAATAACAACAGTAAATAATCATATAAATAATACTAATTTTAATATTTATAATGATGATGATAATAACATTTTTTAAATTTTTTAAAAATATAGTAGAGTGTTTTACACCGCTTGCAACTGCATAAGGTCATATGAGCGCGCGGGACACACCTAATACTTTTAGTTGGTAGGAAATTTTGAATTTTGCCTGGGTGGCGGCCGAAGCCTACTCTTATCGATTTTAGACCACCAGGGGATCTTTAACATGCGCAACTTGCACACGGGCCCTCTGAGTTTTTCGCCCTTGTCCAAGAAGGCTAGATGTAGATCTTTCCTACCAGAAGATCAGGGGTGTGGTAGAAAGACAGCTGTAAGAAGGAGTCAAGGAGTAGCAGTAGAAAGGCTGCAGAAAGAGTCAGGAGCCCAGAGGAGGGGGCAAATAAGGTGAAGGGGTGGGGGCAGAAAGAGGAGACGAAAGCAGACGACAGAATATTGCTAGAGAGCAGGAAAGGAGGTGAAAGGAGACAATTTTAGAGAAGAAAATTTTTCGGTTGCTACCCGGATTCGAACCCAGGACCTTTGAATGAGAGGCCAACACCTTAACCTCTAGGCCACGAGAGCCCCCAATAATAATAATAATAATAATAATAATAATAATAATAATAATAATAATAATAATAAATATAATAATAATTATAATAATAAATAATAATAATAATAATAATAATAATAATAATAATAATAATAATAATAATTATAATAATAAATATTTTCCCACAGTTCATAATATTCATACCAGAAAGAAGACTTTTACTTCTTAAAAATGTACCAGTATCCCAACAGACCACATTTGAAACATTCTCAGTCAGCCCAAATATCCCAAAATTCCAATGAACGACTGGCACTCATATGACCTTATGCAGTTGCGAGCGCCGTAAAACCCTCTACTATATATATATATATATATATATAATGAACCAAGACTACTTCATACCCTCACTCACAATGACACCACACAAAGTACTTTTTCTTTTTTCAGTAAAACCTACAACATATATGTTATAAATACAAATTAACGAAATAATAGGATAGAACAAAAATGTGCCTACTTACCCCAACTGGTGAACTCCCATTTCATTTCAACATAAAAATCTGGGGACTGAAAAAAAACACATTTTGTTGCATTATCAAAACAATGATGGCATTAAAAATTTTTAAAATCTTTTCCATCACATTTTTTCCTGAGCTCACTATAGTTTAGGTATACACAGACAGAATTCAGAACTGATATAATCAGAAAGTTTTATATTATATTTTTTTTTTTTAATTTTAAACACTGAAACAAGAACTTTCTAGGAATTTACAAAGCTTGCCTGCATTACTGACTTACGTTCAAGTCAACAAACACTCTTGATCCAGACTTCAATTACGGTTTTCAAATATTAAGGGGAGACGTACATTCCCAAAAAAAATGTCTAAACAAATTACTTTTATTCACTTTCATGCAATTGTGCAAAAAGTTCATAGGTAAATAGCATGTACTAAGGGTGAATTTGTTGACTTTTCCTGAAAAATAGGTCGCCATGGCGGCCATCTGGATTTTCAAACCAGTTTCTTAGTGCGGAAGAATTTCATATAAAATATTGAAACTACAGCCTGAAATTTGGAGTGTTTAGGAGAGTAAAATGCACTGAAGGAGATTCCAACAATTTTCCCTATCACTGTCTCACCTCTTGGAGTTTTTTAAGTAAATCTGGTACACCGATCGTTCTCTTGGAATAGCGTTGGAAGTCTCTGTACTGTAACACTAATTGTACCATCTCTGGGTCGCCAGTGCAAACAGCTTCGTGCAAGGCTGAGGATGCATTCAAAAAGAAAGAAGCCTTTAAAGTATATATATAAGAACCAAGATTGGTCACTTTTATACTGATACAGATAACAGCTGAATGGATACACAAGGTCGAAGCAAAAAAAAGAGGGCTCAATAGGCATTGATTCGTCAATTTGAGAAGAAAGGGGTAACTAAATTAATTTGAGTAAAGGGGATTGTGACTTTTGCTTTTAAGTGTCTTTGGAGGTTCAGAAGTCAATTTCTGCAAGGGTGCCTGCTCTGTCAGGATACTACAAAAAGTTTTCGTCCCATCAGTCTTGTTTCCCATTTAGCACCACGGTTGTCCTTCCACTTTCCCCATCACATCATGCTCAACATATTCCTCAAAACGAATATCTCCACACTTACTAGTTATGGCACTTGCAACACAATAAGGTCATATAAGTGCCAAAGATTAGAAGTGTTACAAGAGGGTAACAAACACAAAAAAGGAGGAGAGGTCAGGACGACAGATGTTTTGATAGGAAAGAAGCAGCAAACCACACCAGAGCACCGGCCAACCACCCACATGAATAATTCAAACTTACGACAGAAGCTAAAATCACTGTACACAAACTAATTACAAAGTGACAAACAGTGTGTGCACCTGGAAAAAAGTCCCAGCTGTTGGAAATGTTGGATATATTGAAATAAGGGCACAGTATTATTGTAGCAAAGCTGCAAATTCAATGCTGAACATGTTGATTAAAAAATTTTTGAAATATCTTAAGGTGTTTTAAAGATAAAAGCCCTATTTGGTAAAACAGGGTGTGAAAACCAAGTTGGGAGAAAAACGCAATTTCTAGTACATTTATAACCTTTGATGAAGAACAACAGGTCGCAAAAACAACTTATTAAAAAATATTCTGACTAAAATATAAAATATTTTTAATATGGTATCAAAAAATGGTTAACTGACTGAACCAAATTTTTGACCTGGTATGATTTTAATGGCCATTTCACTCCATAGCTCAACAATGAATGGCTTTGCCGACAACTGGGACCTTTCTCCAAGCACACACTAATGTACATATACAGTAACATTACTTAAGACATCAGAGCTGCACTTCTTGTACCGAGACCTAACATTGACAACACACTCTATGCAACATTAAAGTAACTGCTGTTGTAAGACATACCTGACCAGTATCCTTTATTTTCAGCATTTGCATTTGCACCATGCCTAAGTAGAACCCGTGCACTTTCCAAGTTGCCCAATGTTACAGACAAGTGAAGAGGCGTGCGACCTCTAGGATCTACAAGTTCTATGTCGTGCTGAAATACAAAATATGAGCATATTATATATAATATGGAAACTAAACTAACGAACAGAGACTCATTCACAACAAAATAGTTCAGAAATACTCCAGCACCATATTTTGCACAGCCTAAAGATTTTAAGTTTTACAAAAAAAGGTAAAGATGAAACCATTTCACTTTTAAGTGCAGGCTGCTAATGTACAGGGTGATCCAAAAAAAAGGTACAGCTTTTTTTCTGAAATAACTCGCACAAAAGTTGTTCTAGAATGCTGTAATTTGGAAGAGACATAATTCATTCAAAAGGAATTTGTTTGACATAAAATCCACGAAGAAGAAACTTGTTTTGAAAACGGAAATGGTTTAAATAAAAAAGTGCACAAAAACGCAAAGTTCATCAATTTTTTAAAATCTTGTAAAGGAAGTAATGAAAAGATTGGTTGACCTTTTTTTTTACTTTCTCTTTGACATTTAATTTTTCATCCCTGTGACATTTAAACAATATCTAATTTTTTACAGAGTTTTTAAAAAATAACGATTTCATTCTTTCTGAAATTCCTTGGAGCAGTGCTCTACATGCCCTCCTTTGGACTTGACACATTTTTAATGCGTCGTTCGAAATGTTCAATGGCGCCCAAATAATAAAAATAATAATAGCTAGCATTTGTAAAGCGCAAATCCCTGCTCAAAAGCAAGCACTATGCGTTTCACAATCTATACTATTACCCCAGCAGACCCAAGAGCATTCTGAAACAACCTCAACTTCCTGGGAAGCATACAGTGCAAGCGGCCATTTATAGGCTCCAAAACACTAACATACTGACAAAATCTTCCACTGTCTATGGCTGGGTACCCATTTCCACCTGGGCGAAGTGAGGAAAATTTGTGTTAAGTGATTTTCCCAACGTCACAACGTCAGGCCCGCGGCTCAAACCCCCGAACCCGCAACCTCACGATTACGTGTCCGGTAGCCTAACCACTAGGCCACCGACGCCAAAATACAAGGACCTGCTAAACCATGAGTGTATAAAGCCACATTGTACATATTCAGTATGAAGTGGTTACTAGAGACAATAGGGAGAGGGGTGCCCAATAGACAGCATTTTTTAAGCTAACCCCGCAGGGTGAAAATGGGCTTTGTACAAAACAAAATGTCATCAAGGAAATGATCGTTGTTCTAGCTCGCTGTCCGTTACTTTTCATGGTCTTTTTTCCATTTGAACGAGTCAGTGTGTTCTTCTTTGTTTGTCTCGTAGCATGATTTATCCGCCATCGGCTTGCAAGCCCCTTCAGCCAGCAACGTTTCAGGGTGACCCGGGTCGGCCTTCACGGCTAGCGTAACGCCTCAGTGACATAAAGTCACACCGTACTTCAGCCAGACCCAGCTATCCCCTACTTTCTCCTGTTCCCACCTACTCCGACCGGGACGAAGGGTCATTACATTTATATAGAACGACAAGTTACAAGTTACTAAACGATAGAATTTAAAATATGAAACAGACACCTTCTGAAGGTAGTTCCTCAATGCTGAATGGACTAAACAGTTCAATTCTGCGGATAACTGACAAAACGCCGTTTTCAGCACAGAAGTTTCGAGAAAAAGAGGTTGTTGTAAGCGTAAGCATTTAAAAATAGAGTCAAATTCCTAAATTTGAATTCTTCTTTATTCAAAAACCAGTCACAGTTTTATTTTGATTTTTTTCACACAAGTAGACTGATCGGATTTTCAATTTTGCAGAATAAAAAATTTTGGCGCCAAAATGAATAAAGGCATTTTCTCAGCTAACGGTGAAATAGAGAGTGGCCTGCGATTCAAACATCCACTAACAACTAAAGAAACAAGGAATACGGCAGACAGTGGGTGTATGACATTTTAAAAAGAAAAACCTACCTCTTAAGATAAAAAAATTTCTACAGATCCATCATGCACCTCCATGCATTGTTGCTGCATAAAAATTGCACCTAAAGTTTTATATTTTCAGAAGACTTCCACATTTTAAACATTATTTCCCCACTGGGTAACAGCCCCCAAACCCCCCCACCCCCTCATGAACTCAGAAAATAAGTCACCCTTTCATCTTTGTTCACTTCTCTGTCATTTACAATGTTTGCAACTTAATAGTCTTAGATCATTGAACTCACTTCCACTGGCATATCAAGGTCAGAAATGCACACAAAAGTATTGGATCAAAATAATGCCAATATTATCAGACGAGAATGAATTTTAAAACACAGACAGGCCTCTTCTCATTGACTTTCTTTCTGAAATTCTGTTTTCCTAATATAAAAGAGAACATGATGTAAATTTAATTAAAACAAAGACGCAGCTTAAATATCCTTCTGCGTGATATACTGGCAGTAAACGTTGTTATATAGTTAAAATTTAATCTACACAATTTTTCAATCAACTGTCCATCAATCATCAGATCAAACAGGCGGATAGCTAGAAAACAAGAACTAAGTGCCATTGGCCGATATTTATAGTAACAGCCATCTTGTTTGACCTCGCAAGGGAGATGCCCGCCACGTCATTAGATCATTATAATTTAAAAAATAGTGACGATTTTGCGTAGCCGCGGTTCGCACTGGCAGCTTCCAAGTTCCTTCAGCATTTTACAAAATGCAGCAAGAGAGATCGGTGTAGTATATAAGTGGAATCCATATATATAACAGGCCTGGTGTTAACAGGGATCCAGCTAAAAGTGGGATGTGTCATATCCCCACTTTTTTCTTTCTCTCCTAGTAAAATTAATCGGCCATAGAGGGACCAACAACGACAAATCGCCCAGGCCTATAACAGGGATTCCGAGACGCAATATTTTTTTTAAAATTCTTCGTTTGTTCTGTTTTGTTTGTTTTAGTAAAGTGTTTTACGGCGCTCGCAACTGCATAAGGTCATATGAGCGCGCGGGACACACCTAATATTTTCAGTTGGTAGGAAATTTTGAATTTTGCCCGGGTGGCGGCCGAAGCCTACTCTTATCGATTTTAGACCACCAAGGGATCTTTAACATGCGCATCTTGCACACACGGGCCCTCCGAGATTTTTCGCCCTTGTCCGAGAAGGCTAGCTGTAAATCTTTCCTACCAGAAGATCAGGGGTGTGGCTGAAAGACAGCAATAAGAAGAAGCGAAGGAGTAGCAGTAAAAAGGCTGCAGAAAGAATCAGGAGCCCAGAGGAAGGGGCAAAGGAGGTGAGGGGTGGGGGCAGAAAGAGGAGACGAAAGCAGACGACAGAACATTGCTAGAGAGCAGGAAATGAAGTGAAAGGAGACAAATTTAGAGACGAAAATTTTTCGGTCGCTACCCGGATTCGAACCCGGGACCTTTTGAATGAGAGTACTGAGAGGACAACACCTTAACCTCTAGGCCACGAGAGCCCCCCAAAATTCTTCAGGATTCATTGTGCCCGCTAATCTTAGCAACAGACAATTGTAAGCCAACGTTGACTAGAAAATAGTGTAGACAGTTTCTAAAAAGCAGTCTGGGGGGGGGGGGGGGGGGGGTGGACGGTTGGGGTGATGATACGAATGCTAATGCTGTGAAAGCTCCTGCTGTGTCGTCTGCAAACTGATGACACTCGCCCCCCTCTACGAGAGTGCAAGTGTGATGTAAAGCAATGTGGTGTACTTGCAAGATGCTTGAACCACGCACTAGCAATCAACCTAATCTAGATCTAGATCTAGATTCTAGATCTAGTGAGTGAGAGGAAGTGAGATTTATGATGACAAAGTGGGAATCCCTCAATAATGTCAAACAAGACGGCTGTTACTATATCGGCCAATGGAGTTTAGCTGTTGTTCCCTAGCTTGCAAGTGTCAATTCAATTGTCAAGGGTCAATAGTCAATAGGGGCGGGTCATATCATGGAATTTCTCCCCAAAATAAAATTTATGAGACCAAGTAAGAGTCAATTTCAGTGGGTGTCTTTCAGTGAGTGAAAAAGCATCCTAGACTTTATCTAGATATCTAGATCTAGATTCTAGATCTTAACCATCAATTGTAGCCAACGGACTGCTTTTAGCAACAAAACACTTCATAGTAAAAGCCTGAAGGCAGGAATCTGATCTCCACTTTTTAACTTCAGAATCTGATTTCTGTCATAAACATAGCTCACTTAGTCACTAACCGACATCAAAACTTACCAATTTCTTTTCAAGCTCAGCGTCTAATTCTCTGAAACTGTTGTGCCAGACGAGCCAATGAATAGGAAATTCATCTTTCAGAGTCTTAGCTGCCATCTTTGGCACACAAACAAAGAAAGAAAAGTTTCGCAGAAATGGGTGACTCCACTGTTTAATTGTTTATTTTCCGTCACTTCCTCATGATCTATCGATCGTAGTTTTCATTACAGCCCAACCTTGATTGCGGATGTCGTAAAAATAGATCGATCCTTTGGAGGGTTGTCGTAAACTATGGCTACGGCGCCGTAGCATTTGTTAGTGTCAAGAACCGATGAATGGCTTATTTTTTTTATTGCTTGCTTTTCTTTTCCGTGTTAATCCTTGAAAAGTGCGTTTTGAAAATCAGTTTTCACTTCTGTTTCAAAGAAAAATATTATAATCTATGAGCCAGAAAAAGTTGAAGATATATTTCAAATGCAACACCAAAGCCCACCCCCTCCTTTAAAAAAAAAAATTCCACAAACTTATTTTCGCATGTATAAACAAACTGTACGTATGCTGTATGGGCCTAGATCTACCACACAATGATACGCATCGTCAGAATTAAAATCATACATCTTGGCCGTGAAAAACAACAAACTCTTTCTTAATGAATAGGCCTACAGTTTCCTATTACTAACAATCAATGTATCAGCGGCGCATTATAATATTATTATTATTATTATTATTATTATTATTATTATTATTATCATAGCGGAAATTCTGTTAACGTACATCTTAATTTAAAAAACTGTAAGACTTTATTGAGTTGAAAGTACGTCGGGGGAGAAGAGGGGTGGTCGAATGTGTGTAAGCTAGAGTAGGTGCACGTTTGGAGTGTGTGTGTGTGTGTGTGTGTGTGTGTGTGTGTGTGTGTGTGTGTGTGTGTGTGTGTGTGTGTGTGTGAGTGTGTGTGTGTGTGTGAAAGAGAGAGAGAGAGAGAGAGAGAGAGAGAGAGAGGGAGAGAGAGAAAGAAAGAGAGAGAGAAAGAGAGAGAGAGAGAGGCAGACAAACAGACAGACAGACAGACAGACAGACAGACAGACAGACAGACAGACAGACAGACAGACAGACAGACAGACAGACAGACAGACAGACAGAGACAGAGAGAGAAAGACAGAGAATGTTTTGTTTCATGGGTATCATATATCAGTCATTTTCCCCACTGTTCAAAGCAATGATCAATGAGACGAGAGAAACAGCCAAAAACAAACTGTCTTGACTCTGCAAACTGCGCATCGTCACCATCAATCATCATCATCATCATCATCATCATCATCATCATCATCATCATCATCATCATTATCTAAAGTGACTCCCGTGAAAAGACATCGCCGATTATTGCGATTTTAATTACGGCTAATTTCTCTTCATGGGTGCGCGCCTTCTCGTTCTGTTCTTTCTCTGCTCCCACGATGGGCTATTTAAGTTTTCCAATATTTAAAAGCTTGTTTTACCTCTGCCTCTAAAGATGATTGTCCCTATACCGTTTTATTTTTTCCAGTGAAAGCAAGACGTATATTAATTATATTATGTTTCAGACTTTTATATGTCGATTCAGATTTATCAGATTGAAGGGAATTTTGTCTCTTTCCGATTGGTCTAATTAAGTGCTAATTTGGTCCTTGCGTGATTGGGTCTCTTCTCAGAACATGTAACACATGAAAACGATGTCATTTGGTTTCCTTTCCTTCCATGAAACTCTCGAGCAACCCCCAAAAATGTAAGCTTATTCTACCGCTTTGGTAACTGCCCAACATTCACAGCCTTCTAAAAGGGTTGACAACAACAAAAAAGTAGATTAATTCGTATGTTTGTCTATTATTGAGATGTTTTTAGTTGTGCCCCCCCCCCCCCCCCCTATTTTTAAAGACTGGACCGTAGATTTACACTGTTAGGCACAAAAGAGATAACTCTTTGGATTGGACTCTTGCTTTTGCAATTTGGGGTGTTATTTTTGTGATAAATTTCTCATTGAGTAACGAAATATCTATTTGAACCGTTGAACTTGTGGGATTTCAAATAGTCAAATTGTTTTGAGAAAAATGTTATTCTGCTTTTTGTTTCTTTTACCTTAGAAATAACACGCCTAAACTTTCTTTTTTTAAGTTGTTGTTGTCACAACAATCAAGAAACAATTGTAAGAATTGTTTCACTGTTGCAGTAGCCTTGCCTACATCTTAAATAAGACATCTGGAGACATATAGCCCTGCCAAACTCCCCATCCATCATCTGTTAAAGCCACCTCAATGTCTTTGTCCAATTAATATCTATCCCTTTTTGATATTTTTTATGTATCCTGTGTTTGACAATTTTTTATCTTTATCACTTATATGTTTTTTTGTTTATTTATTTATTTATTTTTTTTATTGCACGTCATATGCTATTAATTATTTCATCTTGTTTTGTCTCCTGTTTCTTGACACTTATCCATGTTTCTTTTGCTTTGTTAATAAAGAGTGATTTTTAAAACTTCTGTATTTAATGCATCGATCCTCTGTCACTTAAAAACCCCCATCTCCCTTCCATTTGTCTGTGTCAGTGGTTTTTATTATGATTATTTTTCTTTATCATTCTTTGTTAAAATTAACAGAATCGCATAATTTCACATTTTTGGGCTCAGTTTGCATAATTTCTGAATTTTTGTTACTTAAAACGGCAGAGACACATTTGTTTTCATATAGTAAGTATTCCAGGTTATCGTTTTTCAAATTTTATTTTGCTCTTTTAGAATATCGCTGGGATATTTGCCCAGGAATCACCCCCCCCCCCCATTTAGCCTACATTATATATAGGTTTTTATTTCTTTAAGATTTTTTTTGTCTTGTTTTAGTAGAGGTTTTACTGTATAAGGTCATATGAGTGCTAAAGGATGGGTGTCAACAGAGATAAGTCCTTACATGCTCACCTCTCTATAGCTTCAACAGCACGAGAGTCTGCTCGACTATCAACGCACCTCGGATTATAAAATAGCGGGTCACAAGAGTGTGACAAACATACAAAAGAAGTAGCCTAGAGGCAAATGGCATTAGTAAGGATTAGGAAAGAAAAAGCAGCAGTTCCCTGTTGTATTTCAGGCAGGCACAGTTATGAGCATTAGAACGAGAAAGTTCCCCCCTTTGGGAATAGTCTAAAGACACTTCAGTCAGTGGCACCGTCCCGGGCCCGGGTGTTCTTTAAGATTGTTCATTTGGAGCTTGGAATATCGTAAATCATTAGAGTAACGTTCTTTCAATTCTTGGTTTGTTAACGAAATATATGCCAGAAAGAAGTATTATCACTTTGTTTTTAAAATGTCTGTACCATACTACATGACCATCGACCATAGAGCCATCGACACAGTCTGCCCCTGACACTGATTTTGGTGGATTCCCAGTGTTTCTTAAAGTTTCCGTACCTGTAGGCTGTACATTGTACGGAATTAGAGCCTAGACCAAACGTCATTTGTTTATGCGCACACACGGAAGTGCCTCACTCGGTAACTGGTAATGAAAGCGAATGTTGTTGTGTTCGAATAAACATGGAAAGTGATGATCCAGTGACCGCTTATCGGAGGTTTCTTGAACATTTTTCGAACAAAATAGACAATTTAAGCTCGGAGGAATACGAGGCGCCCTTCAGATTAAGTACATTTTACCTTGTGCCATCAGAAGTTGAAGGAGAATGTTTGGAGTGGTCGCGGCGTTATCTCTCTCTTCAGTAAGTTACTGTACTGTATTAGTATTAGTATAGAGGATCTAGTGTATTTTTCACTTTGTTTTGTAGGACCTGTGACTGTGAGATACTCAGGCTCAGGGCTCAGGTTAGGCGGATCTCGTTTGTCTGTTTGTTTTTGTTTAGATGTTCAGTGTTTTGGGGTAAATTTTTGCGGGAGGACTTCCGTAACGAGCGGCCACTTTGAGACAGCAGAATTGAGGGGTAGGCGATAGGGGTAGATCTAGATCTAGATCTAGGCTAGGGGTAGGGCAGGGGTCCCAGTACGGTTTTGGGTTAAGGTTAGGCCTAGCCTAGGCCTCTTCTTTATTGTGTATGATGGGGTGGTCGCTCGTTACGGAAGTCCTTCCTTTTTTACTTATGCTCCCTCGCACAGATGCATCATTGACTTTGCGGGCTAAACTGCCTTAATTTTTGCTGTAGATCTAGAATCTATATCTAGATCTAGATGTAGATGTAGATGTAGATGTAGATATCTTGATGTAGGAACACAGTCGTAGATCTAGATTCTAGAGTCTAGAATCTTGATTTAGATTTTTAGATCCAGATAGATCTAGATCTAGATCTATGGCCACTAAAACCCTTGCAAATAAATACACAATTGTTTTCAAGTAAATATATCAATCCTAATTGCCAGAGCAAGTGGCTATTCTCTGGAGCCGGAGTCGCGCCGGTGAATAGATCGGACTCTATTCTCCGGCGTCACGCCGCCAGTCTATTACTAATAATTTGTCGGCGCAGATTTGCAATCCTCTCTCATCTGTTTGTCTTGGGAAAAAATTCCCATAAACTTCACCACTTCGTGCCACTTCCATTGTCATTGATAAGGCGATAGGTTTTCAGACACAAACTTCCTCAATTACTCCAATTTAGAATTATGTTAGGTGTGCTAGAAGAAACGTGTTCACCACAAGTGACGCGAGTTCATACAAAGAGTGAGCATAAGAAGTTGCATTTTCACTGTTTACTAAAACGGAGATACGACAAGAAGAAAGCACTGAAGTCGCGAAATATCAGTTAAATTTATGGAAAATTATAACAACAAGAGATAAGTTAAGCAGCAATCTATATTATTATATATGACTACACAAAATTTTAGACAAAATCAATTTTGTTCGTTTCAAGAAACAGAATAATTTTTTGTAAAATAGGCAAATTGACGACCCAAATAAATGAAGAAAGTTACGTTAGACGTTAGACAATTATCATAGATAAAATATAAATAATGAAAGGTAGGCTTACTAGGCCTAGAGATCTAGTTATTGTATCTCAAAATCTGCGCCGACAAATACATTGTAATTCATAAAAGTAATAGACCGGCAGCACGACGCCGGAGAATAGCCACTTGCATTGCCAAAACATCAAATCATTGTGAATTCAGGGGGGGGGGGGGGGGGGGGGGGGGGG